GATGAAAAACTTAACTGTTTATATGTAATCTTTTCACTATATATTCATATTGTAATGAACCCCAGTAGAGAGTAGCACAGTCGTTTGAAAGGGCTGGATAGAAAATGCTAAATTGCAATTCTTAGATAAAAACAAGGAAATGGAATAGAGAGTATGTGTGTGTGGAAGGGTGTATGTATAAATGTTAAGAAATATGAGGAACAGACCAAGAAATTCCAAAATCCATTTAATAACAGTGACAGGAAGGCCATGTTTTTTAATATAAAATCCCTGGCCAGTGTGGCTTAGTTGGTTGGTCTTTGTCCCCTGCACCAAAAGTTGCCAGTTTGATTTCTGGTCAGGGCACATGCCCAGGTTGCAGGCTCCATCCCCAGTGGGGATGTGCAGAAATCAGCCAATCAATGTTTCTCTCTCCCTCTTCCTTCCTCTCTCTAAAGTCAATAAAAACAAATATAAAGTAAAATAACCTTATAGAGTGCATGGGGAATAAAAAGACAGAACGGAATAGAATAAATATTGAAGGAACCAAAGAAAAGAGAAAAATTTAAAGATATGAAAAATGAGTTCTCTAACTGGAGGTGCCCACTAGAAGTCTGGTAGGAAAAATCAAAACAAAAATAAATAGAATTGGCTTCCACAAAGATTAAGTAGCCCATTTTTCCCAGGATCTTCCTGTTAAATCTAAAACCTCTAGACTTACTGTAACAGGATGGAGGTAAGAAGGGGGACTGTCAATACAGCTCAGGACTTGCACTATTACCGGGGCTGAGATCCCTGGCTTCCTTTAATGCCCCACATATACCCAAGGCTCATGCAATCAAAATGTCATTTATTTCAGGCACCTGGGTGCAGGTGGTCTGACTCCAGAAAGAGCCAGCGGTGAACAGGGGAGGGAGCAGGCTTTTTATGTGCTCAGGGAGAGCTGCAGATGGGGCTTCGGCTTGACACATGTATCAGGTCCATAGTTTACAGCCTTGCCCTTTGTCGTGCTGCTGGCGCCAGACGTCTTTTCTCGTGTGTGTGTGTGTGTGTGTGTGTGTGTGTGTGTGTGTGTGTGCAGGGCTTATAATCTTCAGGAATTTCTGTAAAATAACCACTCAAGGGGAGTATGTTTGTGCAAGGCATAGGCTAGCAAAACGAGCTTTCCCTTGGACATTCATTAGATTTTGTAAGGTTCAAGCCTTGTGTTCTCCAGTTAACTCTTTCAGTTAAAACCATTAGCTGATAGAAATGGGTAATATGTTAAAAGAATGAAAATCATGACCACATGGGCTTTGTTGTGTGTTGAAATACAATTAAATATTTGAAAATCAGAAATACCAGCCACCACTTTCACTCCAGGGAGCATGCTCTGTCTCTCTGCAACTTTGAGTTGGAAAATACCATCTCTTCTCCAAGACCCACCGGTTGTGGACTTTGGGTCCCTTACCTGCCTCATTTAGTCTGTCGCCTCCTCGGTAAAATGGGGCTGATTATAGTGCCTACCTCAGGGTGGTGAAGAATGCTAGTCATGCTCAATATGGGTGCAGAACACAGTGACTGGCGAGTATTAAGACCCGAGTGCAGCCCTGGCTGGTTTGGCTCAGTGGATAGAGCATCGGCTTATGGACAGAAGGGCCCCAGACACATGCCTGGGTCGCAGGCTTGATCCCCACTGGGTGGGGGTGGGGGTGGGAGCGTGTAGAAGACGGCCAATCCATGATTCTCTCATCAATGATATTTCTCTTCCTCCTTCCCTCCCTTCCTCCTTCTCTCTTTTCCTCTCTCCCTCCCTCCTTCTCCCTTCCTCTCTGGAATCAATAATATATTGGGTCGGCAAGTAAGTAATTGCGGGTTTCACACATATATGGCTTCAGTTGAATTTTTAGGTTTGCAGACGTAGTACAAATGTAAAACACATTTTGTTATTTGATAGTTGGCTATTCAGCTGTTAATCAGTAAAAAAAGTTTTTTGATCTGTTTTGTAGTTTTCGTTTGGCGTTCGTTGAAAAATGGAAAATCAAAAGGAACATTTTCGTCATATTTTGATTTTTTATTTCCACAAAGGGAAAAACGCATCGCAAGCTCATAAAAAGTTATGTGCTGTTTATGGTGACGAAGCCTTAAAAGAACGGCAGTGTCAAAATTGGTTTGCCAAATTTCGTTCTGGTGATTTTTCACTCAAAGATGAAAAACGCTCTGGTCGTCCAGTTGAAGTTGATGACGCCCTAATCAAAGCAATACTCAATTCGGACTGTCACAGTACAACACGTGAGATTGCAGAGAAGCTTCATGTATCACATACATGCATTGAAAATCACTTAAAACAACTTGGCTATGTTCAAAAACTCGATACATGGGTTCCTCACGAACTGAAAGAATCACAGTTAACGCAACGCATTAGCAGCTGCGATTTGCTAAAGAAACGTAATGAAAATGATCCATTTTTAAAACGACTGATAACTGGCGATGAAAAATGGGTTGTTTACAACAATATCAAGCGGAAAAGATCGTGGAGCAGGCCAGGTGAACCAACTCAAACAACATCAAAAGCTGATATTCATCAAAAGAAGGTTTTGTTATCAGTTTGGTGGGATTACAAAGGAATTGTCTACTTTGAACTCTTACCACCCAACCGAACGATCAATTATGATGTCTACATTGAACAACTAATGAAATTAAACAATGCAGTTGAAGAAAAGCGGCCCAAATTGACAAATCGAAAAGGTGTTGTATTCCATCATGACAATGCAAGGCCACACACATCTTTGGTCACTCGGCAAAAATTAATGGAGCTTGGTTGGGATGTTTTGCCACATCCACCATATAGTCCTGACCTTGCACCATCTGATTACTTTTTGTTTCGATCTTTACAAAACTCCTTGAATGGTAAAAATTTCAATAATGATGATGATGTCAAATCGTACCTGATTCAGTTTTTGGCTAATAAAAACCAGAAGTTTTTTGAACGTGGGATTATGATGCTGCCTGAAAGATGGCAAAAGATCATTGATCAAAATGGGCAATACATTACAGAATAAAGTTATTTAGTTCCATGAAAAAATTGTCTTTGATTTTCTTTAAAAAATTCGCAATTACTTACTTGCCGACCCAATATATATATATATATATATTAAAAAAAAAAAAGACCTGAATGGCTATTGCCATGGCTCTAGGCTCCAGAGGCCTTGAGGTCATTAGTAGGAAAGGCCCCTGCCCTCAGGAGCCTGCATTAGATCAGATGCTGTTTACATAATAATAAGTTTAATAGCTTGAGAGGTTAAGTGCTTTATATGAGATCACATGTTTGACATCAAATATTAAGGGGGAGGAAAATGCTTTAATGACTTAGGAGATGGCAAATGATTGGAAATAATTACGGAGTGATTGGAAAATAAAGTGATTATACATCTATTCCCTTTCCTATAAAAATTTTTTTCTCTGGCCTCTTATCAGAATGATTTCACTAAATTTCCATCGTCCAGATTCAAAGCTCAAAGCCCTCTCATTGTCTCTATCTACCAGTGCTCCTTTCCACTCTTTGGTCCCCTTCCAGTTACAGATAAAATACTCACTCCAGCCTTTAGAGCATTAATGTATGATAGATACTTAATAAATATTAAGCCATTTAACTGAGCTGCTTAAAATAAATTCCTGGTTCCTTTCTGACTATGGCATAAACTTGATTTTGCCTGAAGATGAAAACAGACTCCAATTTACCTTCCTTTTTTTATTGTTCTTTTTGTTGTTGTTGTTGTTGTTACTCATCTGAGAATTTTCATGTTTTTTTTTCTTTCTGAGAATTTTTTTTTTCTTTCTGAAAGAGAGAGTGGAAGGGAGAGTGGGAGAGAGAGAGAGAGAGAGAGAGAGAGAGAGAGAGAGAGAGAGAGAAACATCAATGTGAAAAAGACACATTCATAGGTTGCCTCCCACACATGCCCCAACTAGACCTGGGAGTTGAACCTGCATCCCAGATACATGCACTGACCAGGAATCAAACCTGTGAACCTTTGATCCATGGGTGATGCTCTAATCTCTGAGCCAAATCAGCCAGGGTTCCAAAGATTTAGTTAATTAATTAAAAAATAAATATCAGCCACCAAATTATCAGGCTAAGAAAAAAATCATATGATCATATTATAAATAGCATTTCAATAAGTTTTATATGCATTCATAATTTTAAAAAAACTCTCAGAAAACCAAGAATGGAGGGAAACTTTCTCAACTTAATAAAAAAAATCATCTACAAAAAACTTCTAGCTAACTTAATGGTAAAAGAATAAATACTTCTAAGGTTATTCACTCTCACCACTCTTATGTAACACTAGAGGCCCAGTGTATGAAATTCAGCTTTGGGGGGGTTGCGATTTTCCCTCAGCCCAGCCTGCACCCTCGCAATCTGGGACCACTGGCTCCTAACCACTCACCTGCCTGCCTGCCTGATCTCTCCTAACCACTCTGTCTAATCACCTCTCTGCCTGCCTGCCTAATTGCCCCTAACTGCTCTCCCCTGCTGGCCTGATCCCCATAACTGCTCCAGAAGATTTCTGATCTAATTAGCATATTACCTTTTATTAGAATAGATATTTGAAAATAATACCTAGCATAATAAGACAAGGAAATGAAATAAAAGGCATACAGGTTGGAAATGAAGGAAAACATTTGTCTCCATTTGCAGCTGACATTTTAGTCTGCATAGAAAAGACCAAGGCATTTACAAAAAACCTTTTGGAACTAAAATGTGAGTTAAGCAAGGTCCAGGCTACAAGATCAACACATAAAAATGCATTGTTTTGCTCTATACTAGTAAGGATATGTGGATATTAAAATTAAAGTTAAAAATACTTAGGTATAAATAGGAAAAACACTTTAGGTCTTATACTCTAAAAACTAAAAAATTACAAAACACTGATGCAAGAAATTGTATTTATTTTGTTGAAAGAAATTAAATGAAGTGACATAGACACACATGTTCGTTCCTTGAAAGACTCAGCATAGTAAAGAAGTCATTTCTCCCCAAACTAATATGTAGATTTAACTTCATTGCTGTCATAATCCTAGCAAGATCTTTTGTACAAATATACAAGATCATCCTACAATTTTTATTGAAAGACAAGGCTACAACAATTCTTAAAAAGAATAAAGCAGTGAAAATCGCTACACTGTCTCAAGACATATTATGCAGCTATAGTAATCAACAGTATGTGATACTGACAGAGAATAGACACATAATCAATGAAACAGAATAGAAAACCAAGTATAGCCAAATAATTTTTGACAAATGTGCCAAAGTAATTCAATGGAGGAAGAATAGTACTTTCAACAAACGGTTGCTACAAAAAGTAGATATCCACTGTTAAAAAAAAAATCCATCTCAAAGTTTTATACCTTATACAACAATTAATACAAATGGAGTAGGGCAGTTCACTCAAGTGGAAAGGATGTCATGAGCTATTGGCCTGAAACAAATGGTATGTTACATAGCATTCCGCTATCATTGAATATAAATATATGGTGTTACCATCAGAAAGGCCCCATCTAGGGTTAAGGAGTACTTCCTTTGGGAATTATTGCTTTCCATTAGACCCCCTCACTTCCTCAGAATTATAATCCGTTTCATAAGGCCTCAGTTTCCTCTTACAGTTTCTAGAACAGAGCATTATTTTGTCATGCACACTCAATGGTGCAAGTCAATGGTCTGGTGTTCTGAGTGGCATAGCATTCTGCCCATCTCTGATTCGTCACCCATGATAGACCAGTAAAAGTGACCACTTAGATTCCTAGCTGTCCAAAATGTTTTAAGTTTCTCAGCATACTAGAGCTTCCTCTCTTTCAGAAGCCATGAATTTCCCGATGCCGACCTTCATTATATGTGGGTTACTAATTTCAGCGACCAAAGGTAATGGAACCCTAGAATACAAGGAGGAAGGAACTAGGATGAATTATTGACATTGAGCTCCTAGGTGTCACCAAGGGGGGAAAGAATCCACTGGAAAAGTCTTGGGCCAATAAAGAGTAGCAAAAAATGCTCTTATTATGGCAGCTCCACATCCCTACTCTCTAAGAAATCCTTAGAGGCACATATCAAGCTGGGTATTTCCTGAGACATTTCTCCAAAGGCAAGGATTTTCTCAATCTCCTCAGCAGCCTTATGTCTCTCTATGTAACTGACAGTGTTAACTCAGCCTCATGTCACTTCTATTTGAATGATTTCATCGTTGTACTTGTCTCGTTGTGTCCTATGAGTTAAACTCTTACTACCATCTTGAATTATCTTTTCTTACGAAAGTACCTTTGCAGGAATCTTTTATTTTTATGTTCTGAGATATTGCGAACAAGTTCATCACACTGTTTGTAGATTCTGCAGAGCTGTCATGAGAAAGAGACAACATAAATTTGAGTTATAAGGGGGATAAATGAAGACAGAGATAAAGATTAATATACAAGACCAATGGGGAGCTTCTATGATATTAGATAAAAATGAACGAGGTTGTTCCTCTTTTGAAAAATGCTATTACTGAAAATTATCTTCAATATTTTTAGCTGTGGCATCCATATCTATCAGAAAGTCTGTTACATCTACCTGCAAATTATATCCAGAACCAACACCACCTGCACTGCTACCACTCTGATTCAAGTTACTGTCATGTCTAACCTGTTACTGCTATAGCTTCGTCCCAGGTCTCTGTTTGATCCTTGGCTTGTGCAGTCTACTGTCAAGATAGCAGAGAGTATGATCTGCTCACCCTAGAAGTCAGATTATGTGTATTTTCTGTTCAAAACTCTGCACTGTCTCCCCCCTCTTCACTCAGAGCAGTAACCAGGGTTCTTATAGTGACCCACCTGGCTCTCCATGATCTGGTCCTTAGGATCATCTCTTTCTATTCTCTTTCTATTCTAGTCCTTGCTCACTTTGTTAGAGCCACACTGGCCTCAATGCTGTTCCTCAAACATGCCAGGCTTGCAGGACCCTCAGAGTTCTGTTTGTTTCTTCTACCCTGTTTCCCCGAAAATAAGACAGTGTCTTATATTAATTTTTTCTCCCAAAGTTGTGCTAGGTTTTATTTTCAGGGGATGTCTTATCTTTCCATACGCTAGGTCTTATTTTTGGAGGATGTCTTATTTTTGGGGAAACATGGTAGTTAGAATGTACTTGCCCCAGATATCAGTGTGGCTAATGCCCTTACCTCCTTCAAGTCACCATTTAATTGTCACCTTCTTTCAGACCTATGCTAACTGCTGTTTAAGAAATTGCCATCTGGCCGAAACTGGTTTGGCTCAGTGGTAGAGCGTCAGTCTGCAAACTGAAAGGTCTCAGGTTCGATTCCAGTCAAGGGCATGTACATTGATTGCGGGCACATCCCCGGTAGGGGGTGTGCAGGAGGCAGCTGGTCGATGTTTCTCTCTCATCAACGTTTCTAGCTCTCTATATCTCTCCCTTCCTCTCTGTAAAAAAAAAAAAAAATCAATAAAATATATATTAAGAGAAAGAAAAAAAAGAAATTGCAATCTGGCCTCATGGCATTGCAAACAGATTCCACTTAAATCTGTTCTCTCTTATTTCTATAAACCACTTATCACCTTCTCACATAAAAGATAACTTACTTGTTTGTTTGTTTTAATTGTTTGTATTCTCCTAAGTTACATATGATTTTTTCTGCTTAGTTCACAAATGTACTTCAAGTGTCTAGAATTGAGTCTGCACCATAGTTAGGGGCTCAAAACTGTGTTGAATGAGGGATTATGCCCTAAATTTTTACTCTGAAGGGAATGGTTAAAAAGGAGTAGTGAGTACTGCAAGTGAGAAACAATTTTGATAAAAACTTGACAGATCAAGATGATGTAAAGAGTTTAGGAGAGATGAACTAAGAAACTTCTGATTTCAAGTCTGGGTACCCTGGAGGAAAAGAAAAATAATCTCTGTAGAAATGAAGAATGGAGATGCAACGATAGATTTTGTCTTAAATTAAGCAAGTGAAATGTCTACATTTAAAAATTTTTATTTTTCAATTATAATTTATGTTCAATATTTTGTATCAGTTTCATGTGTACAGTATAGTGGTTAAACAATTACATAATTTTCATAGAATTTCTCCCCATATTTCCAGCACCTTCTTGGTACCATCAGGCTCACAGATACAGAGAACAGACTGCTGGCTGCCAGATGGGAGAGGGGTTGGAGAGTTGGGTAAAAAAGGTGAAGCAATTAAGAACTATAAATTGATAGTTACAAAATAGTCATGGGGGTGTAAAGCACAGCATAGGGAATATAGACAATCATAGCGAAATCTACATTTTAAACTTACAGAAAATTCTATCATGAACCAAGTAAATTTGGGCCAGTAAAATAATAAGGGAATGAAACATTGGAGAAGTGAAATAAAGCCAACATATTTCAGAGGAGGCAATCGGGTCCAAATTATTTTGAACTTTATAAATGCCAACCCAAGAAAGGTGCCTTTCATACATGATCAAATCAAATCCAAAAGAAGTTGTTTTGAGAATTACTTGCTCTTCCTCATATATACCAGCCTTCCTCCATCATAGAATCTTTGCTCTAGCTGCTTCCTTTGCCTAGAATACACTGACCTCGGTACTTCTCAGGGAATTTGCTGAGAAAAATGGGCATGCAGTTTGCTTGATCAAATATCATACAATGGACTGACTAGTTTCCTTTAGATTAATATATACACCCCACAACAGAATTATCGCGCTGCTAAGAAATCTCCCTATATTTCTCTCTTAAGCTCATCTTCCCTCTTTTCTAGATAGCTGTTTTTTTTAAAGGGTTTTAAAAATTTATATATATTTTTATTGATTTCAGAGAGGAAGGGAGAGGGAGAGATAGAAACATCAGTGATGAGAGAGAATCATTAGTTGGCTGCTTCCTGCATGCCTCCTATTGGAGATCAAACCTGCAACCCGGGCAGGTGCCCTTGACCAGAACTGAACCAGGACCCTTCAGTCTGCAGCCGACCCTCTGTCCACTGGGCCAAACTGGCTAGGGCTTTTAAAAAAGATTTTAAATTGATTTTTAGAGAGAGGAAGGGAGAGGGAGAGAAGCATCGATTAGCTGCCTCCTGCATGCTCCCTACCAGGGATTAGGAAACCATAACCTGACGACCTGTGCCCTGCTTGGAATCCAACCAGAACTGGAAGTGGGGGGTCAGTACAATAATTTATATTAAGAGGCATTCCCCAGCCCCCCAAATCAATTTGGAATGGGGAAGTTAGGGAAGTCATAAAGTAAGGGCAACCTTTTGGTGCATGGACGAGGCCCAAGCCACTGAGCTACACTGGCCAGGGCAGTAGACATCTCTTTGGTACTGACCTCTCTTTCGTTCTAACTCTCCTGCTCCACTCCTCTGCGCCACTCTCTGCCCTTGCTTATGACTATACCCCACACTTCATGATTTAAAAAATTCAAATAGAACTTTTTGTTTTTATCACTGCCAACATTCATACCAGTAGATCTTTGCATCCATCTTGTCTTTCCCCCTTGACAGGCTGAGGAAGTGTGCCTTCTCCACCTTAGTCACTCTGCTGTACATTATTTTAATCTTTGTCAACTTGTCAAGGTTATGCCCTTCTGTTGTCTCATTTTCCTCTTGTACATTAATCTCTCCCTTTCTGCTTGTTTCTTCTTAATTGTTTGAAAACATGCTGTTATTTCCCATTCTTTTAAAAAATAGTTTTAATTGGTTTTAGAGAGGCAGAGAAAGGGGGAAGAGAGATAGAAACATCAATGATGAGAGAAATCACTGATTGGCTACTTCCTGCACGCCCCCTACTGGGGAATCGAGCCTGCAACCCAGGTGTGTGCCCTGACCTGGAATAGGTCCATGTTCAGCCACTGAGCTATGCAGGCCAGGCTGTTTCCCATTCTTAAAAACAAAGAGAAGAATCCACCCTTAAGCCCTTATTGTCCACCAAGAACTTCTCTGTTTCCCTGCTCTTCCTTTCTGCTCTTCCTTGTCACTGGATGCTACTTCCATTTCTTTTATTGACATTTCAACCAGCTTCACTTTTGTTTCTTTTCTTCCTACCACTCTGAAACCACTCTTGTCAAAGTTCCCTGTAACACTCATCAAGTTAAACGCAATGGACATTTCTACCCTTATCTTACCCTCTCAGCAGTAATTGCCTACAAATGTTTACTCATTTCTTTTTTTTTAATTAAATATATTTTATTAATTTTTTACAGAGAGGAAGAGAGAGAGACAGAGAGCCAGAAATATCGATGAGAGAGCAACATCGACCAGCTGCCTCCTGAGCCCGCAACCAAGGTACATGCCCTTGACTGGAATCGAGCCCGGGACTCTTCAGTCCGCAGACCGACGCTCCACCACTGAGCCAAACTGGTTTCGGCGTTTACTCATTTCTTTAAGATACATTTTCCTCTCTTGCATAATCTAGTCACCTCTGATATAACTTTCGTGGTATCCTTTTGGTATTTTCCATTTGTACGCACACCAGCTTGAGCTGCACTGGCAGAATCCCTAGAGCATGGTTGGTTGTGTGGGAAAGATCCCTGTTAGGGCAATCCAGAAATGACAGGGAATTATCAACTTTCTTCGGGATCATCTATCAGCTATTGGCTGGCAGGCCAGTAGATAAATATTCCTGCACATTTGACCCTCAAGAAGGATTTCTCTGATGCTTGTTTCATACTCTGGCTGCCAGAGTTCCCCATGGGGTGGTGCTTTAGTCAACCACAGTGATAGTTAACTGTACAGTTCACTCCTACTGGTTTTATTACTCCCCTAACTTCCCCACTCCAAATTGATTTTGGGGGTGGGGAGGGGTGGGGAATGCCTCTTAACGTAATTATTGTACTGACCCTCCCACCCCCACCCTCAGTTCTGCTTTCGATGGAACTGACCTAATCTCTAGTGTTTCGTTCTCTTGATTTATCTGGTTGTTCCTTTTGAGTCTTTTCCTCTTTTCTGAGCTCTCAATATTGATATTCACCAGGATTTAATTAGGTCCCCTTTTACCTCAGATTATTCCAACTTAATATACTTTGCCTGTTACTATAGTTTCTAATACTATCCATAAGCAACGATTCCAAAGTTTACATCTAGAGGTCCAGACTTCTACTGAGATTTTGTAGGTCTATACCACTGCCTTGTTGACATTCTAGATTACATTATGCTGTTTACCCCAAAGCAAATACTTGAGTCCACCTTTTCCTCTTCCCTCCAAATCTTGTTCTTTCCTCAGCTTACTATCCTTTTAGTGGAAAATATCACTAATCTCCCCATCTCAGTTCAGAAATGTAGTGATGCATCTTCCTCTGACCTTGTATCCAAATAACCAAAGTTTTAAATTTGTCTTCTTTCCTCTATTCTCACAGCACCATTATGTCTCATCTGGCTAAAGCCTCTAACATAGGTGTCCCTAATTCTAGTCTTCCCTTTCTCTAATATAATTTTCACAAGAATTCCTAACTAATTGTCTAAATCATAAAGTAAATTAACTCACATCATGTTTTGAAATAAACAAAATGCTTAACAGTAGCCTAAAGTGACTGGGGAGAAGGCATTACTACTTCCAGCTCATTTCATCTTGTGGTCCTTTGCTCTTTATACATTACTAGAGGCCTGGTGCATGAATTCGTGCATGGGTGGGGTCCCTGGAGGTGGCCTGCAGGGATCGGGCTGAAACCCATAGTCCAACACTGCCTGCAGCTCCTACCTGCTGCTCCTGCTCATCCTGGCCCCGCTGCACCTGCTGCAGGTTGCGCCCAATCAGTCCTGATAGGTGAGGCTCACACTGCAGCAGCAGCAGCAGCAGCAGCACTTGCCAGCTGTGAGCCCTGCATCTGGTGCCCTCCTGAGGGGAGTGGCCTGCAGGATCGGGCCAAAACTGGCTCTCTGACATTCCCTGAGGGGTCCTAGATTGTGAGAGTGTGCAGTCCAGGCTGGAGGACCCCACCAATGCATGATTTGGGCTGAGGAGGGACTGTGGGAGGGCTCTAGAGCATGTCCGGGCCTGTCTGACCTAGTCCTGATCAGGGCAGGTTGGGGCTAGCTAGGGAGGGATGCAGGAGGTTGGGAGGGACCACAGGAGGATTCCAGGGTTGGTCTGGCCCTTCTCTCCCTGTCCCAATTGACCAGACCCAAGCAGCAAGCTAACCTACTAGTGGGAGTGCCTGCCCCGTGGTGGTCAATTCACGTAATTGCTACTGCATGACCAGTCGACTCACCCTAGTGGTTAGTTCATGCCATAGCAAGTGGTTGAGAGGTCTTAGCATATCATTAACATATTATGCTTTAATTGGCTGAACGGTCAACTTGTCACTGGACAACTGGACACTTAGCACATTAGGCATTTATCATATAGGATACTTTGGACTTATCAGCCTTCTCCAGATACATTGAAAACACTATGCAGTTTTTCAACATTGGAACTGAACATTTGTCAGTCTTTCCCTGAAATAATCTTATTTACTCCTTGCAGCTGGCTGGAAAATAAAAAAATGCTGGAAGAATGATATAGGACACTGCAGAAAACGATGTTTACATACTGAAAGGTACAAACTTCTTTGTATGAACAAGCTAAATTGTTGCATTCCCACAAACTTCGAGGAATACACTAGAAAGCCACTACCTCCCCTATTCCCTACAGATATGAGCAATGTTACTTGGGATGTGCCTCCTTCCCCTGTAACTTGGCCCGATGATCAGGTAACATATATCCCAGATGTTAGCACAGGAACTGAGATCACAACTCCCAGGAAGAGAGTTTCTACAACGGCTTTGACACGTGCTACTAAAGTTTCTACACCAACTTTGACACAAGCTCCTAAAGTTTCTACACCAACTTTGACACAAGCTCCCAAAGTTCCTACACCAACTTTGACACAAGCTCCCAAAGTTTCTACAACAGCTTTGACACAAGCTCCTAAAGTTCCTCCATCAACTTTGACACAAGCTCCCAAAGTTTCTACACCAGCTTTGACACAAGCTCCCAAAGTTTCTACAACAGCTTTGACACAAGCTCCCAAAGTTACTACAACAGCTTTGACACAAACTCCCAAAGTTTCTACACCAGCTTTGACACAAACTCCCAAAGTTTCTACACCGGCTTTGACAACACAACCTACAGGAACTGCTGCTTCAACTAACTAACATTTCCTCCTGGGTATGAGACACTAGAGATAACTACTGGGAATAATATCCAGGAAGCCACTTCTACTTACCTATTTCAATTCTGTTGGGTATTGGATGACATGGAGATGGACATAATGCTACTGCCAAGACAAGAGCCAAGAGAGTTACCTTACAATTAGAAATGTGGAAAGAGAAGTATATAGCAGGGATTCTCTTTACTGGGCTTTAGTTCTTTGTTTTTCTCGCATGTATTAAAATATATGCTCTAATATTTGGCCTCAAGTGAACATTTGTGTGTCTGTGTATTTTCCCATGTCCCCTCACCCTAAATGAAGGCCACAGTGTGGAGCTGCCTTTTTGGTCGAGATGAAGATTTTGATTTTAATGATGCATGAACCACCACTATCATATATGGGAGAATCAATGAAGGCACATAAAAAGTTCTAGACCAGTCTTCCTTTTCCAATTCTTCCACCTTTTATTATGAACTCTGACTTGAATCCCTGTCTGAATCATGAGATCAAATTTTGTTTAAGGCTTCAACTAAAAACTCACCCAGCTAGTGTTAGAAACCATCTAATTGAGCACAAACACCAGTTTAACTAGATAGAGATGAAAGTGGAACTTACCTTCGGAGCACATCATATAAAATGAAAAGCTATATCACAAGATCTACTTATTTTTCCAATGTCCTTTCCTTTCAAAAATCTAACTACCAGCTAGGGTGATCTCATAGCATGCCTCTCCAGATCTTCATTTTGTCTGTGAATACTTGTTAGGTGTAGGGTAACTATGTTTGTGTGCCTATATGCATGCAAGTGCTGTTTATATGACAACTAATGGCTCAGCAAGTTTGTTCTCTGATATCAGAGAGAAGGTAATAATTGTAAAGTTGATTAACTATTAACCTGTTGGGCTAAGGCTACCAAGAACCAGAGTCTCAGATGCCTAAATGTTTCAAAATCAAAATTCTTTTTGTCTAGATCAGTCTGCCAGTAACCGTGGCTGTAGTTTGGACATTAGCTATCAGACTGCTGATCTTTCAGTAGACCTCATATTTCAATGGATCTCATACCTCCCATTAGGGAGACAAAACATCCTAGAGTGCCTGGGACTGATTATCTTTCTAGATCCTGGAAAGTAGAGTACCAAAATCAAGAAAGTCATTAGCAAACTGGGACAAATTACCTTCCAAATGTACCTCAGCCTAAATTGTTCTTCCCCATTTCTTTGTATAGCTGACACCTCATCACATAGGTCACAGGTCAATTCTTCACAGAGGCATTCTTTCACCATAAAAACTTCCCAGACCACCAGTCTGCCTTAAAAGTTGATTATTTATTCTTTTTCCTTATCTTTGCTTCAAATGTCATATCCTTAGAAATAATCCTTGGCCATGAGATCACTTCTTACCCTAAGTTGTATTATTTTCTTCCTATCACTTAAACTCTTAGAAATTATTTTGCATATTTTTTGCTCTCTTTCTGAATTACTGAGTAATTTATTTATGGCCAATCATAACTGCCATACTGTACATAGAGTCCTGATACCTTAATCTTGCTCATGGCTGTGTCCCACACTGCTAGACAGTGCCTTGTACATGGTAAATGCTCCATAAAATCTTGTAAACATGTTAATGCAATTATTCCTATAAATTAAAAAGAAAACTGTCCTGTATGATCCAGCAATCTCACTTCTAGATATATATCTGCATGAAATGAAATAGTTATCCTGGAGAGTTATTTGCACTACTATGTTCATTGCAGTATTTACCATGATAGTCAATGTATGGAAACAATCTAAATGTCTGTTGACAGATGAACAGATAAAGAACATCCCATGTACACACAGGGATATTAATCAGCATTTCTTAAAAAGGAAAACCTGCCACTTATGACAACATGCATGAACCTGTGAGACATTAATTATTAATTATGCTTATGGGAAATAAGCCAGATGAAGAAAGAAAAATACTGCATGAGCTCATTTATATGTGGAATCTCAGTAATCAAACTCATAGAAGCAGAAAGTACACAGTGGTTACCAGGGGCTCTGTGGAGGAGGAAATGGAGAGTTGGTCAAGGGATATAAAGTTTGAGTTATGCAAGATGAAAAAGTTCTGAACAACAGCGTAACTATAATTAACAATGTTGTGTTGTATACTACAAATTTGGTAAAGGAACAGACCTTAAGTACTTTCACCACACACACACACACACACACACACACACACACACACAAGAACAAAAAAGAGGTAACAATTTTTTTAAAAAAGGATTAAAAGAACAAACAGGCTGAGAGATATTATTTGCAAATTTCATATCTAACAAAGAACTCAAATATCTTCTTACCTAATAAAAGAGTAATATGCAAATTAACCATCACTCTGCTAAACCCACAAGCCACACCCACCAGACACACCCACCACAATCAGAGTGAGTATTCAAATTAACCCCAACCAAGATGGCTATGGCCACAGAGAGCAGGAGGGAGGCTTGGGTTTCCCCAACAATGGAGGAAGCCAAGCTTTCCACACTCACTGGCTGGCCCAGGCCTCCACTAAAGGGTACAAAGTTTCAATTATAGAAGATAAATAAATTCCAAGAGAAATGGCTGCTGCCATGGAGCAAGCAGGAGGGTTGTCTCCTCTCCAGGCTACAAAGTTTCAATTGTAGAAGATGAATAAATTCCAGACACCAGGGCCTCTGCTTGGGTCACCAGGGGGCATGGCTGGCCTGCAAACCACCACAGGCCCCTCACCCAGGCCACCCCACACTCCAAGAGAAACCCCACTTTGATCTGGGACATCCTTCAGGGCAAACCAGCTGGGCCCCACCCATGCACCAGGCCTCTATCCTATAAAAGAGCAATATGCAGATTGACCATCACTCTAACACACAAGATGGTTGCCCCCATGCTGTCAAAGATCCTGCCTCCATGTGGACACAAGATACCAGCAGAGGAGGGCAGTTGGGAGGCACCATGCCTGAAAGGGAGGGCAGTTGAGAGGGACCAGGCCTGAAAGAGAGGGCAGTGGGGGGGTGATCAACCCTGCAGGGGAGGGCAGTTAAGAGTGACCAGACCAGCAGAGGAGGGAAGTTGGGGGCAAACAGGCTGGCAGGGGAGCAGTTAGACATCAATAAGGCTGGCTTGGGAATGGTTAGGGGATGATCAGGATGGCAGGCAGAAGAGGTTAGGTGCAATCAGAAAGACAGGCAGACAAGCAGTTGGGAGCCAGCAGTCCTGGATTGTAAGAAGGATGTCCGATTGCCCTTTTAGGTTCGATTCTGGTGGGATCTGACCTAAATGGGCAGTCGGACATCTGTTGAGGGGTCCCAGATTAGAGAGGGTGTAGGCTGGGCTGAGGGACACACCCCTGTGCATGAATTTTGTGCACCAGGCCTCTAGTAGAATATATAAAGAACTATCAAAATTAACAATTCAAAACAAATAATTTATTTAGAAAATTGGCAGATGAAGGAACCAAGGTGGCGGCCTAGGTAAGCACCTAAGCTGCCGCCTCACACAATAATTTCAAAATAACAGCTAAAAGACAGAGGGACATCATCCAAAACCACAGGAAAGCTGGCTGAGCAGGAAATCTACAACTAGAAAGAAGGAGAGTGGCTCACGGATCGGAAGCTGCAAAGCACTGAGGTAGGGAGATGCTCCCGCAGAGAGGAAGGTTGGCCAAGTGCCGGGCTGGTGGGAGGGGAAAGGAAGCCCCTGACTGCATTGAACCCCAGATACAACTGCACTGAACCCCAGTCCCGACTGAAACCCCGTGGACCCAGGCTTATACGGGTGGAGTCTGGACTGTAGAGAAAGCACCTGGAGTCTCAGAGGCTGGGAGATGTGGGGGAGCCAGGAGCCACAGTGCAGGAGTGAGTACACACAGAGAGGTCTGTCCAGACTGGGAGACCAGGGGAGCTGGGAGCCACAGTGCAAGAGTGAGTGCGCACAGAGAGGTCTGACCGTGGAGGTTGCTGCAGCCTCTCCATAGTGGAAAGAGTCAGAAGCTCCTAATTGCACTGAATCCCCAGTCACAACTGCACTGAGCACTGAAACTCAGTTCAGGGCAAGCCCCTGGGGCACCCACACTCTTATAAGGGGAATCTGGACTATCAGGCAGAAACTCAGAAGATCCGTGGAAGGAAGAGGCCTGAAGCACATGCACAAGGGCAGGACTGATGGGAAGCCAAGACTAGTGGTTCAGCCCTGAGACTCTGCCCCATCCAAGCTGAGCTCAGAGGCTTTTGCAGTTTTGAAAGTCTGATCCTATAAGGCTGTCTCCAACAGAGAAGGTATCCTGGTGTAGACACAGCTGATATTCACATCCAATTGGCCTGGAGGTCAATTCCTCCCAGTGATACCAACAACAATCAAGACTTAACTACAACAAGGCTGTACACGCAGTCTAAATAGGGGAACACCAAGAGTGTCTACCTCAGGTAACTGGGGAGGCTGACCCACTTGACAATATAGGACACCAAGCACACAAAGCCACCCTACCAACTCAGGGAAGCAGTGAAAATGCTGAGACAAGGAAAAAGATCTCAAATAAAAGAAATGGAGGAGAACAAAAGACTAGATACAGAGTTCAAAACCACGGTTATAAGGTTTTTCAAGAATTTCTTAGAAAAGGCTGATAAATTTAATGAGACCCTCGAGGATATGAAAAATGACCAACTAGAAATTAAACATACACTGATTGAAATAAAAAATATTATACAGAGACCCAACAGCAGACTAGAGGAATACAAGAATCAAGTCAAAGATTTGGAATATAAAGAGGCAAAGGACACTCTTCTGGAGAAGCAAGAAGAGAAGAGAATACAGAAAGCTGACGATAGTCTAAGAAGCCTCTGGGACAACTTCAAGCGTACCAACATCAGAATTATGGGGGTGCCAGAAGAAGAGAGAGAGCAAGATATGGAAAACCTATTTGAAGAAATAATGTCAGAGAACTTCCTTCACCTAGTGAAAGAAATAGACTTATAAGTACAGAAAGCACACAG